TAATTGACACGATAAAATTGCAATTTTGTGAGATAACTGAAATGATAAATTTAATCAAAACTTCCTTTGTAACGTTTGTTTTTCAGATGAATCTAACTTATTAAATCACTATAATTTCTGTTTAGAACCGTATGATAATGTAAGAAGTGCATATCCACAAATTCACTAAAAGAGAAAGTGTGAGAAGCAGAAGTTTTATTACTGAACTGACAAGTAAATCAGATTTGTTGGTATATGGTTATTTGAAAAACAAAATTCATGTAATTTAACCAATTTATTAGAAATATTTACAGCAGAGTGTACAGGTCAATATTTTGGTCTAAATACCTACCTTTGACGTTGACGATGTTTTTTTTTTATTACGAGCCCTAACAACTATGTGTTGGAACAAGCAGTTATTTTGCGAATAAAATGCCAATTTAACGAAATTCTTTTATTCTAATTTTTTATAATTGTAAATATGAAATTAACAACATTTTTTTATGATGTATGGAAATAAATGTTTAAACCTAAATCTAAGTCTCCAGGTGTGGATGGAATATTTCCTGCCCTGCTTCAGCGGGCACAGGAGGAATTACTACCACACATAATCCGGAAATCCCGGGGCAATCTGGAACTGAGATTTATACCAGAATCATGGAGAAGGGCCAGAGTCACCTTTATTCCAAAAGAAGCGAAAAAAGATACCACACATCCTAAACCCTTTCGACCAATGAGCCTCACATCCTCTGTATTAAAAACAACAGAGAAGGCTGTTGATAATTATATCAGAACAGAAGTCCTGGAGAGGATGCCACTTCACCACAGTCAGCACGTGTACCGAGCAGAAAGTCTACAGAAACTGCCCTGGTACAGCTGACTGACGTAATCCAGGATGCACTGACAAACAAAGAAACGGTCGTGAGTATCTTTCTTAATACATAAGGAGCGTTTGACAACACGCTACGCGAATCTGTTAAAAGAGCACTTGCTTATAGAGGAATAGACAGCACTATATCCAGATGGATGACTGAGCTGCTATCTATGAGAACTGCAGAGACATATATAGGGCAGGACACCACCTCTATCTGCACAACCAGAGAATGTTTACAAGGAGGAGTTCTATCCCACTAATGTGGAGCCTAACCGTAGACGAACTTCTATGCAGATTGACTGACCTCGGCATAACCTGTCAATCGATATGAGGAATAGTAATAATGCATTTTAACCTAACAACCCCCTAACAATGTAACTGAATTGTAGATTGTAGGAAATTTGTTTTGAAAATAGGCATTCAGTTGTGATTACAAAAAGAACATTTTGACCACTCTTTCAAATTTGTTGCAATCGACTATAAGGGACGAAATTTGAAAAAGTTTGTGTTGAATTTCTTAAAATTCTAACAGTAAATAAAAATATGAAAACGTCAAGGGTATTATAATGACATTGAAAACATCTTTTGATTCACCTATCATTTTATTTTTTAAATAATGGAGATTCCCTCTAAGAGGTAACTTAGGACATCCAGTATATGTTCGTTCCTCGTGACTCACGTTGTATGAAAAATCCTGATGAACTTAAAGGTAATTTGAAATAGCGCAGAACAGGGCTAACTCTAGCTAATGGAAAAGGTCAGGATAATGTTGATGATAATGATAATGATAATTATGTGAAAAAGTTTACTTTTAACGGTAGTTCAACACATTTGGAGATCATTATTTAGAAACGAACAACAAACCTCACAGTGGCTTCTGAGAAAAATTACGGCATCGCTGTCCAAAATGAGCGATGTTAAAAGGTTGTTACCGAAGTCGTCAACAAGAATAATTTACTTTATTAGATGTTCCAGACTTCTATTTAGGACGCTATAAAAGCGAATGCAGACTTTTACAATATACAGGGTGTCCCAGAATACAATACTCAATATAAGAACATTGATGCAGTTTTTCTATAGTTTTCAGAGTTCTAAAACGTTACAAATACTATTCGTATAAAATGCAACAGTTTCAAGATGACCCTGACCGACGATAATAATTGACACGATAAAATTGCAATTTTGTGAGATAACTGAAATGATAAATTTAATCAAAACTTCCTTTGTAACGTTTGTTTTTCAGATGAATCTAACTTATTAAATCACTATAATTTCTGTTTAGAACCGTATGATAATGTAAGAAGTGCATATCCACAAATTCACTAAAAGAGAAAGTGTGAGAAGCAGAAGTTTTATTACTGAACTGACAAGTAAATCAGATTTGTTGGTATATGGTTATTTGAAAAACAAAATTCATGTAATTTAACCAATTTATTAGAAATATTTACAGCAGAGTGTACAGGTCAATATTTTGGTCTAAATACCTACCTTTGACGTTGACGATGTTTTTTTTTTATTACGAGCCCTAACAACTATGTGTTGGAACAAGCAGTTATTTTGCGAATAAAATGCCAATTTAACGAAATTCTTTTATTCTAATTTTTTATAATTGTAAATATGAAATTAACAACATTTTTTTATGATGTATGGAATTATTTTTATGGTTTAATTATATATTTTTTGTTGATTATTATTTAATTATTTGTTTGACAATCGAAAAATGCTGACAACTAAATATTGGAATATATTTAGCTTTGCCTTAAGCCTTGGTTTCTTTGAACACTTCGTCGCGGTGAGTGGACAGTCCGTCAACCGTCGCGGTGAGCGGACAGTCCGTCAACCGTCGCGTTTTGACGATTTTATCCAACCAGAGTATTTAAATGGGAATGGTTTTCTTGAATCCGCTTAGCTGAGCAGGACGGCGTCATGCCGCTGATTTGTCGCGAAGAGTCGGTTGATATCTGTTGAGTTTGATATCAGCGGAATCGTCGGCGTGTGCGGAGACTATATTGTTATTAATTTTAAAGCAATGAGTGACAAATTCACACATACAGATGACATCATGACTTTATTTTTAGATTTCTTGGAAATTATGTCCTTTATAAAACTCAACACGAATTCAAAAAGATCTGTAGAAAGTCTAAAATACTCCCTAAATTTGGTTTCATTTCCAAAAAAACCTCCGCTGCACAATGATATTAAAGGCACCTTCTATATCGCGACACAAAAACAACTCATCCACTGGCTTATTGGAAACTTTGACGGTTGCAATTGCCAGTTCCTCTTGTTCTTCCTCTTCCAACAATAATAACAACGTACATTTATTTGCATCCATTTTAGTACCTTTCGTTTACATTCATAATACATAAACAGCACGTACAGACCTAGAGAAAGTATCATTTTCTATATTTTTTAACAAACCACCTCGGGCGAAAATTGCTGTCCTCAGCGGTCGACGGACTGTCCGCTCACCGCTACGGAGTGTTCAAAGAAACCAAGGCTTTAGGTTTCTTGAGTTTTATCAGCCTAATTAACAACTGTCAGTTTTATTAAGAGTAAAATACAATACTGGTACGTGGAAAACCTACTGATCCAAAACTATTGTGTTTAATATAATTAAGAAATATGGTAACTCTGCCAGTATAGATGTTCGAGGTAAAAGCTCAGGCCGTCCAAAAGCTGTTTCTCAAAGAAGTGTATGACATTTAATTAGAATATGTAAGTCGGGAAGACGAAATACACTACGAGAAGTAACCGCAAGATGGAATAGAGAAACTGGGATGAATGTTTCCAGAGAATGCTGTCGCAAATATATTCACAAGAGCGGTTTTAGTTTTTATAAGGTATGTTCAATAGGTTTTTCTTTGCGGTAAAAATTTTCTGATTTTTAAATTACCGAAAGCGTGTGATTCGGGAAAAACAAGCATTCCATAAGAATTGTCTCAAGAGGACTGTAAAGTTTCCGCAGGGCATCATGGTGTGGGGTTATATGTCGGCCAAAGGGTTGAAAACTTTACACTTTATTGAAGGCATAGTAAACGCAGCCAAATATTAAGATATCCTTGAACATTCGCTTTTACCAAGTGCAGCAAAGTTATATCCATCCGGAGATTTTATCTTTCAACAGGACGGAGCCTCATGCCATACGGCTACATCTACTAAAAAAATGGATGGGCGAATATGACATTAAAGTTTTGTCACATCCCTCTAGCAGCCCGCATCTTAATACAATTGAGACACTTTGGCGCAAAATGAAACAACGCCTAAGAAATACTCCTCAGCGTACTTTACTATAACTACGTGCTAAATTGCAAGAAATATGGGATAGTTTCACCCCTTAATTATGTGAAAGCCTGGTTGGCACAATGCCTAAAAGAGTTCAGGCTGTTATTCGAGCTAAGGGCGACGTTACGACTTATTTAATTTTTATTTTAAATGGGTAAAAAGCACTTGTTCCAATATTTAGTTGTCAGCATTTTTCGATTGTCAAACAAGTAATTAAATAGTAATCAACATAAAATATATAATTAAACCGTAAAAATAATTCCATACATCATAAAATATTGTTAATTATATATTTACATTAAAAAAAAGATAGAATAAAATAATTTCGGCAAATTGGCATTTTATTCGTAAAATAACTGCTTGTTCCAACATATAGTTGTTAGGGCTCGTATAATGTACCTACACTATCAATTAAAAATTCAAATTTTATTTTTCTCTTTTAGATGGAAGTTTGTACAGAGTTTTAGTCTTTTTCTCATAAAATCGTTTAACCAGTGTCATTTATTAATTATATAATTTTAAACCGCCACTATCTAAACTACTAGTCCAAATTACACAATTAAAAAATTATGAGAATCACCCACGTAAGGCTTGAAGAATGGAAATAATTTAAAAACTCTGGGTGAATTATTTTCGATGGTCCATTTAATATGTATAGTATTCGAATAGTGTCAATTTGTAAAGTTAAAAGCTAGACAATGAAAATTTCTACACGTAATTTTTCCACTACTTGAGCAACTGGCGTGTTTAAAGTATAATCGTGATTTTAAATTAGCTTTTTACTGTAGGTATTATTATACATAATTATACGTTAAGTAAATTATAAATCTGTTTCAATGATTTAATGTTGTTAATTACTTACGGTTGTCACTGAAGTCGTCGACAAGAATAATTTCCTTTATTAGATGTTCCGGACTTCTATTTAGGACGCTAAAAAATTACATGTATATTAGTTAAATAGACTTCTAAGAATGCTGAAAAAATTATACATAATAATCAATTAAAATGCGTTCTTTGTCACGTTCACCTAAATTCTTGTTCTATATCTCTATAGTATTGTATAAATTTATTAGCATTTTGCAATTACCAACTCTACTTCTAGCCTAGCAAAGATAAATCTGGCAACGCAGAGATCGAGTCCATTTCAGTCACGTTTTTGTACATTTTTTGTTTTACTAGCGATTTTTTTTAAACTTTCAGGTCAAGTGAAATTAAAATATTTTCTTCTTTAATTAATTTATAAATAGAGAGCCGAAAGTCTGTGAATTTTTCTTTGTGATAAACTGTGTAATCTTACTAAAATAAAAGTATTTTTTTGTTACAACTGTAGCTCTCGCGTTGAATATCTTGCCGTAGTGTTTTTAAACTGATTTTTAATCTTTTAATTATAGAATAAGTGTTAAAAAGTGTCTGGTGGTCCGTTGTTCATCCGCTACAATTAAAATTGTACGGAATGAAAATTACCCGATGGAAATTTAATAAAAATTTCTGTAAAAGCTAAGCTTAAACCAAATGCATGCCCATGTATGTTCATAAATCTGCCTAAATATTTATCAAAACCTTCACCTACTCACAGAAAATCACATACTGAAAGAAAGAAGGAACACATCGAAAGTTCTAATAAATTACCTATACATTTCTTCATAAATTGGCAGGCTTGGCGAGTACTACTTCGAATAAAAATAGCGTCCAAGTTGCAAGACTGTCGCTACCCCCTTAAATATACAAGAATTTCCCACTGGCACCTATTGTTTGACAGGTCGTTGGAATGCCTAATTATCGGACAGGTCAAGATCAATGTGTCAAAAGTTAATATATTGACAGTTTACCATCCAATCAGAGTCTAGAACGTCATATGTCAATATTTACTATTATTTATTATGCAACCGTTGTAGACTTTTATAAAAGATTTTAGTAAGCTTTTTTTTTAGTCAAACTAAGCTTGTTTTAAATATTTCCCAATACTTCTAAGATACCATAACATGAGTTCTCAAACAAAATATAAAATAGAAATGTAAATAAAAAGAATTACATTTTTTAAAAAATAACAAATAGCTTTATTTTAATTTTAAAATTGTTAACTCAATTTGGCTAAAACACATATGTGGCTAAATCTGGATTTCTAAAAGTTTTATAGCTATTAATTTTAGCAGAATTAACGATATGGAAGTGACAAGCGATAATCGAAATTCTTAAAGGATGCACATACTTTTTTTAACTTTATTTACTGAAGTCGAAACGCAATATAAGGTTTGTTTCTGTCAGTCCGTGATAGTTTGCAAACTCTACGAGACGAACAAGAGGAGTAACAGAAAAGAAATGGAAAATCACCGAATAAAAGAGGAACTACAAGTTTAGCTAATTCTAGAATTTATGAAGAAACTTTTTTTTACAAAATGGCTTATGAAAAACAAATTTTAGAAGTATGAGGTGATATATACCAAAATGGCCTATTTAATTCAGTAGTATACCTATGGTTCCAAACCCAATATAAAGAACTGGAATAAGAGCTTATGGGTCTAAAGCAAAGTAGGTACTCTAAAAGTTTGGGTTGATACCCAAGCATCTTCGAGACTGAAATTAACTCTACTGGGGAATGTAATCAGTACCACAAGATAAAAACTATTGCAGACAAAAGATTATCATCATGTCCGATAACCAAGCAGTCACCAAAGCGCTGAGCTCTTCGTTATTAGTTCAGAAATGGCCTGGAGGTGACTATAAAAACTTGAGTCTCGAGAAACAGCGGGAAAACGGCAACCATTGCAAGTAGTCTCGAAAGAGATCATATTTACCAAAAGAAGGCCTGTTTAATTCAGTAGTATATGAAGGGTTTCATATCCCATGAAAAGAACTGGAATAACAGTGTATTATGTACTCTAAAAGTTTGAGTCAATACCCAAGCATCTTCCAGACTGAAATTAACTCTACCGGAAAATGTAACATTGATAAAAACTATCGCAGGCAAAAGATTATCATCATGCCCGATTATCAAGGAGCCACTAAAGCGCTCAGCTCTTCGTTATTAGTTCAAAAATGGCCTAAAAAGACTTGAGTCTCGGGACAGAGCGGGAAAATGGTAACCATTGCAGGTAGTCTCATTAGAATTTAGCTCAAACACCTTTTGTGGGACCTGAGCCGTTCTGGGGCATCAACATTAATACAATATTAGGAGTAATTGAAAAGAGAATTGGCCAATAAAAGAACTGACAATTGGAACAATCTTTTTGGAGTTAAGAGAAGCGAATATACTTCTGCGTAAGGAAAAGGATCCAAGGACACTATACTAGTATAATAGAAGCGAACTGTCTTCTCAGCTGAAAGGCACTACACATTATAGATTTTTTTGGGACGATAGGATTGGACAGGTTGTTATAGATATCGATATTATTTCCTTTCTGATATCTCATAACAATATTACGAACTAAAAGAAGAGAGACCTAGCTATGATAGTGGAATAAGGAAAACACTAACAGAAAAGAGAAAAGTTACTAAAAATTTTTCAAAAGGGAACAATAAATATTAATATGGTAAAACGACTATTCTCCTATGTGGTATAAATGAACGAAATATGCCATTTGAAGGTATAAGTAAAGGGGCCTTAAACCATTATCAGTGGCAATATGTATCAAAGAAAGGTCACTTTGTCACCATGTAAGTAATTAGTATTAGTATGTTAGGTTAAAATCATTTGAGATGTAGGTACTTTTTCTTTTTCAACGTTAAATACCAGAGTTTCTTTTATTTTTGTGACACATAATTGCTTTTAAATAATTTAAATATACTTATTCTAAATATTTACCTAACAACTGTTCTTAATAACGTAGATCTGGCTTCGTTGTGGAATGTAATAATCACTGAGGTAGCTGGAAATTCATCAACGTTAAACGATTTCTTTCGGCACCTAAAATTAAATAAAAAACATTCATTTATTTACAAATTGAATAGACAGACATAAAGCTACCTAATCATAGAGGCGTGGTTGGAATAGCCAAGAAATTGAATAATTTAGTAAATATATCAGGGTTATGATCGACAAGTAATGTTATTTTTAACAGACACGTTATTTGTGAACAGGTTGTAATTTCTGTGTATTTATAAAATAACAGACCTGTTAAAAATAACACAGGTTGTCAATCATAACCCCCTTATGACGGAGACATAAAAAAACAAGGTAATAAGGTGGGGCAGACACATGTTGTCAGACTTTACTGTCAAAAATGGATCATCTGTCCATAATTATTATATATTAAACATTCAAGTTGTACAACGAAGGCGCTATAGACCAGATCTCACCTTCAGTCTTGCTTTGCTTGTGTTAAATGGCGCTGGCACATACATGAAAAGAAACGACACAGTATCAGTGTTGCCACTCACAGATCGAGCCACAAGTAGAGACAGGAACGGTAACTGACAACGTCGATAAAACATCTATTCCTCTCCTGCACATGCAAACATTTTATATTACCAGCACTGTATATTAACGAACAGCTCATATAGCGTGAGTAAATGATGTGATAAAAACAATGATAATTGAAACTAAAGTTCTGTGTATCTGTGTACCAACTTTCTTTGGTCGAGGTACACACACCAATTTGCAGCAAAAAATTGAGAGACCAATATAGGGGATTAGTTTTGTTTTATAACTCATACAAGCCTAGTCACAGGCATTCTGACTGGTCATTGCCACTACAGGGGGTGCAAATAAGAAGATGAGACCATCGAGCATATCCTACGATTGCTCGATGCTCTCATTTATTAAAAGATTTGTGTTCGGTAAGTATCGGTTAACACCGGCCGATATAAGAGAAGTACCTCTAGGCGACATTGTCAACTACATTAAATCTGTAGGTTGGCTCACGAGTTAGGAAGTTCCTACCATCTTAGAAGGATGCACAATGGGCCTAGTGAGGCCTAAGTGCCGTGAGGAAACCCACCCCCACACGTTACAGATACAGAGAACTTACAAAATAACCAAATTATTATTATAGCATATTTAACTGAACAATACTGAAATGTATATAAAAATGTGAATTAGTCTAATTTTAATATATATGTTTTTTGGAGAAAAAAAAAATAAATTTCTCAATTGTGACCAATTTAAAATAAAATACACGGTCTTTGAGATTTTTCTCTTTTCCTTCTATTTTATATATATTTTTTATTAACGTGTTTCGACTGCTGTGGTCCCTACAAGACATAATATTTTCACAAAATTATTTTAATTTAAATTAATTGAAAAAGTTGAACGTTTTTTAAATAATTGAACAAACATTGGTATTCTGTAGGTTCGCCCAATATTTTTTGTAGACTTAAATTCAGCTTGTAGCGTTTCCTTTGTTCGGAAAAGTGATCACAATCTAATGTCAGAGTGGATGATGTATTTGGTTGCCTCGCTGGTTGTCATTAAGTGGCTGTGTGTGAGTTTAGTGTGTCCAATTCGTAATCTTCTTATTATGAGAGTGCGTCTGTTCTGGGACTAGGGGATAATCTGAGAGAAGCGATAGTGGGTTGTATGTCTCGTAGCTGTCTGTTCTCTTCTTGGTATAAAGAGAGGAAATCCTGTTCCATTCTGACACCAATGCTATTTGACCAGAGGCGTAACATATTGGGAATAAAACAATGCATTTTTTTTATTAGTTTTTTTTTAGTTTTTAGTACTTTATTGATATTTTTAGGTAAAAAGCAAGTTCGAAGCGTAAAAATTAAAATAACTGAGGAACAATAAATAAGGAATCATAAATTTGACAAGAAAAATATATATACCAGGTGCGCCACACCATTTTTCACAAAATTTTTAGTTTAAATATGTCCTGAAATTATGCGAAAAGTGGACGGGAGCACCATCTAGCTGCAGCCACATTTTTCGTCTAATATCCAGAAAGTTCCAGAAATCTTTCTTCAAAAATAAAAAAAAAAAAAATTAAATGGCCATCAAAGAAATAGGGCCTCACCAACTGTCTTCGTATTATTTCACCCTAAACGATTAACGACCATCGGTTTTGTCGATCTACAGTTCGAAATTCATGTTTATGTTTGGTGATGTAATAATAAAAATTATGTCTATTCACAAATCCGTTATTATGGAAAGTATATTCATCAGTAAATAGTATATATTTGATAAATGTTAATATTTACAATTGTATGACACGCCACTAAAAAAATTGCTTTTTTGGCAATTTTAATATCATTAATTGCTTAAAAATTAATGAAAAGCATAAAATAAACAACATTTATTACTCTGGAGTGAGTCATGTATAATATATAAATACCAAGCTGTATAATAACCAAATAAAATGAAAAATTTAAGAAAATATAAAAATTATAAATGATGGATGTTTATTATTTACCTCTGAAACGTAATATCTGGTTACTGCTTGTCGCTACGACTTTTACACTCATATGCAACACAAAAAACCATTGTAACAAACTAATTATCAAATGTCGTTTAATTCAAAAATCACAAAAAAACACGAGTAAAAATCTTGTGTGTCGCCGAAATTCTTAGCACCAAAATAATGGCGACCAATCCATAATCGGCACAGAATATAGTTGTTACGCGTCCTCTCTCTTTCCTTGTCTAAGGTTTTCTTCAAAATATTCTTGACACCAGAATTTAAATATTTTTTGCCGGTACGTCCAATGTGGAAGCGTCTTTGGCTACACGATCAGCTGCTTTATTACCATTAAGTCTAACGTAAGACGTGATCCAAATGGAAAGTAACGAATGCTCCTTTTGTTCCGAGGTTGCCATAGGTGTCATAAATTACGTTAACTAAGGGGTGTTCAGAGAATGCATATTTTATTGAGTGGATAGATGAAAATGAGTCTGTATAGATTTAATTGGATATTAACATCCGGAATGCTTCTAACATGCCTTATAGTTCTCCACTGTATACGGTATACTGGTGGAAGGCAGTTTAATAATCTTCTTGATGTTAGTGGATGTTACAACAGAACTACCAACACCTGATTCATTTTTAGAGGCATCAGTAAAAAGAACTGTGTTAAAATTGTTTTTACAAATGATATTTAGGAATGTTTATTGTATTTCACGTGGTGTTTCCGTCTTATTACAGATGCATAATGAAGTGTTTATGTATGGTAATTTTTTAATCCATAGTGGAATTGCAGGAATAGAGAAAGGAGTAGTTCTGAAAAGATCAAAATTACCAAGTAGGGGTTTAAGAATAGCAAGCAGTGGTTGAACTCCTCTAGTAGATTGTGTGTTAGGTACATGTGATTTATTAGAATGAATATTGTTTATCCTGGATTTTGAGGATTTGCAGATACACTAGCTCTATATAAAAGGAGAAGCTGTTGGCGTCTTAACTAAAGTAAAGGTTCATTGGCCTCGCAGTATAAACTTTAAGTAGAATTTGATCTAAAAGCACCAATGCAAAATCTGAAAGCAGTGTTATGTTATTAAGGCTTTTCGGATTAGTTTTAGATGCGGACCTAAAGATAAAGCAGCAGTAGTCTAATTTGGAACGTATCAGCTATCTGTAGACTGTAAGTAACAAATCCTTCTCGGCACCCCATTGGAAATGAGAGTTTATGTCATAGTTGCTTTTGACTTCTTGTATATGTTTATTTCAAGATAGTCTCTATTGAAATATTAGTCCTAAAACTTTATGACCACGGATAAAGGTAAATCTTTATATGTTTGTGGAATTTCACCGGTATACTTGATGATTTTGGTTATTTTAGGTGAAAAAGTTAGCCCTATATTTTGGTACCACGCATTAAATAAAAACGGCCTTTTGATGAGTTTACAATTACTGGCTGAGACAAGCAAGCAGACGAAATTTTTCCATACACTGCACATTTGCGGACGAAAAAGTTTGGGGACGAAAAATAATAGTGTTTAATAGAAGACACATTTTACGTATTCAAATTCCTTTGTAAAATCGTATTTTATGAAGATGTCCAGTAACACAGATGATTGTGAAAAATCATATTACATTATTTTTCTACAATGCCACAAAATAACACTACTACGTATTATAGAGTGTGACATGACAATGTGTAGTACATCATTAAAAAGGTAATTTTATGGGGAATTTAGAAATATGACTGTTCATTGCGATACTTTTAATTGTACCGCCCTCTATCAGGACAAAAAAATTGTACGGATTATAAAGTGTGACACCTTATTTGAAAGCAAATTTAATTACTAATTCAATTCAACACAGAACATTAATATAAATATCCTCCATATTGCACTTGCAATACATTGAAAATTAGTCATGCATTATTTTAAACATTATTGCTAACTTTATTTAGTTGCAAGTGCATTGTGGAAATATTTATATTAATGTTATGTGGTGCATTGAATTAGTAATAAAATTAGCTTTCAAATAAAGTGTCACATTTTATAATACGTAACAGGTTTTTTTTATCCCGATAGAGGGCGCTAAAATGAAAAGCATCGCAATAAACAGTCATATTTCTGACTTCCCCATAAAATTGCCTTTTCAATGATGTGCCGTACATGGTACATTCCTTATTTAAAATTAAGGGGTTGGGGAAGTGGAAGGAAGGGGGTTGACACATGACAGATGTCTGTATTGTAAAAATGTGTTTAAAATTTAATTTATATCTAAAACTAAAGCTCTCTTAGCGCTCTATGAACTGGCTTTTACAGAATTAAAATATCTTTATTACTTACCAAAATATCTGACCTGGGACTTTTATTGGTACACCCTGTATAATTTTTATTTATAATTTTAAAAATCATATTTTATGGTCCCTTTCATTTGTGACCGATTTGTTGAAATCGACACTTAAATTCAGAGATCTTTCAAATCAAAAATCACGATTGCATGTAAATAATAATCTTTTAAACTACAAACGTAAATATTAAACGAGATGCGTGTCTGTCCAGTGACCTTATATAACGAA